GTGAGTTTTGGTCAGGCAAACCCAAGATCATATCTTTTCCTGTCACTTATTTGTAACAGGCACCAATAGTTACACTGAGCTACTATGTGCAGAGTGTCCTGAGTGCTTAAGGTAATCTATTGTTTAAAACTCACTACAGCTCTATGACTTTGACAATGTAATGTCACCCCATTTTAGAGATAAGGAATTTGAGATTAATTGGCTTATGTGTAGTGGCAAAACTAAGTTTGAACCCAGAAAATTAGACACCAGAGGACACTGCTTATCTCTGCAGTACCCAGCAGGTGATGGGATGACTTAGTGATGCTTATGTGGAGGAATATAGGAAAAAGCTTTTACTAAAACAGACAAGGAAAAGGACAGAGCGTCTGTTGCCTTCCCTTTTTAAAAAATCTAAGTTGACTGTACTTTTTCAGGTAGTTTTTACTTCACAAAAATTCAGTTAACCATTTTAAAAGGAAAGAGACTAATGCCAAGAGCCCCTTCCATATTCCTCACCAACCTCAACTGTCTGCCTCTTTCTGTATTATTTTGAAGTTAATTTCCAGAATTATATTACTTCATCCATGAATACTTCAAGATATATATCTAAGAGATAAGAATTCTTTTTAAGAATATATAATAAAACTTTCTGGGGCAGAGGGACTATAACGTATAGTATAGTGCCTGCCTTTATGGACCTTGCTTCAATCCCCAGCACCACAAATAAAAACAATCAAAACAACCCCCCAAAACCCACAAAAACCATTAGCGTGTCCACAAATAGCTAATGATAATTCCTTAACATTGTCAAATAACCTAGTCTTGTTTACATATTGAACAAGTTTGTGCGAATTAGTATCAACAAGATTCATACATTCAAATAGGTTGCTATATTATGTTCTTTTTAACTTGTCACTCTCTTACTATACAATTTTTTCTATGCTATTTAATTAGGAAAGAAAAAGGGTGTTTTCCCTGTATGTCTGCTAGGAAATTCTTTCCAGACATGAAGAAGAAACATAAAATCATCCTCAAGGTGACTTTACCATGTTCCTTATTTCCAGTCTTTTGCTAGTTTTATCTACAAACTTAGTCATATTACTGATTCCAATTGGGCAAGATGACTTCAATAGTATTATCTGCTTCCATCAGATGATATACTAGTTCTGATCGTTTTCTTTTCAGTCGATTGATGATTATGTCTAGATTCATTACTTCACTAGAGTGCTCTATTACACAGAAGGCTTTTCTACTCTGAATTACAATTTTTTTAGGGAAGGCAGAATAAATACTACATTCCATCTCTTTATCAATTTTTAAATAAAACATTTATTTTCTATCAACTCATAGATTCAATTTTTTAAACCACTTTTTTCTTTTTTTCTTGCTACTGGGAATCAAACTCACAACCTCACGTTTGCCAGGCAGGCACTAGGCTACTGAGTTGTAGCCCTGGCCCACCACTCTTCCTTTAAATGAGACACTTCAAATCTTTAGAAAACTGACAAGACTAGATATACCCCTTGGCTAGATGTACCAGTTGTTAAGGCTTTGATACACGTGTTTTCTCTCTCATACTATATACCTAGAATATATGTATTTTAAGTAAGTTGCATTCATTGCTGATCAAGTAAGTCACAGATCTTGTGGCGACTTATTCCTAAATACTTCAGCATATATTTCCCAGGAAAAAGGAACTTTCCTAATTTTAGTGCATGTGCTGCCAAGGAGAGCACACAAGGACATGTTTCTACATGATCACAAGGCTATTTTCACAAGAAATAAATTTAACCTAAAGTAATAGTGTTTAATAATTAAACCATATTCAAATTGCTTCTTGTCCCAGTAATGTCTTTTGAAACTATTTTTTAAAATATTCAGTGAAGGCTCATGCATAATATCTCATCATGTCCCTTTTTTATTCTTTTGGTTATTTCCTCTTGCTGACCCAGGAACCAAGGTTTGCCTGAGCCAGAATGTATAGTCTTGCACTTTGCTGCCTAAGGAATGGTGTTTGTATTACACAGGCGAGGCTGCTTACTTACTATTGCATCATGTTGGTTTATCCTAATATTGGCGAGTTAGCAGAACGCTTGACTCTGGTCTTATTGAAGTCTGCCAGATTTCACAATGGCAAAGGGAGCTCTTCCCTTTGTAATTAATAGGAAAATGAAGTGTAGTATTTTTAAGACTGTTTGGACTTTGGAGCTCCACAATATACTAGTATTCATTTATGATCTTGCCTGAATCAATTATTGCATTGGTAATTATAAATTGTGGAATTTCTAATATTAATACATTATCTATAGTTTATACTCTTCTGTGAGTAGGGATTTCCATACTTCTCCCCCACTTTTTTTTTTTTGAGTAACAATATGGACTCATGGATTCTTTTTATGATTCAGTGTATTATAATCTATACCATGACCACATTATTTAAACTCTGGCCAGCTACTGGAGTCGTGCACTTCATTGGCCTGTCAGCATTTCCTTTTGTTTCTAGCATGGCTCACTGGACTCACTCTGTCCTTCAGTCCTTCAGTCAGCAGCTTCCTAAAAAGATCCGGCCCCTTTTCCCAAATAATGATATTTAGAAGCTGGGAGCAAGGAGTAGTGGCATATGCCTGTAAACCAAGTAAACTGAGAGGCTGAAGCAAGAGGATTTGAAGTTTGAGCCCAGCGCTGGCGACTTAGTGACTTAGCAAGACCTTCTCTCAAAATGCTAAAAGCACTGGGAATGTATCTCAGTGTGAAGGCCTTGTGTTCAATCCTGAGGACCACAAAGAAAAACAAAACAAAACAAACAAAACCCTAAAGGTAAAGAAAGAAAAAGAAACTGTGAGCTGGTACAAAGTGTGCTTCTTGCTGTCGGAAGCATACTATTTTGTGCCTTTTCAAGTACAAATTTTGCTAACTTAGGAGTTCATACTTAGCAATGAAAGGGTTCCTCACTTTTTCTCAGTTCATATTTATTTTTTCTTTCTCCTATAGGGTTTTGTTCTGAAAAATATTGATAGATTTGCTCATTTGCTCTACGCTGTAATGCATCCCAATTTTTTTCAAAATTCTTCCATCAGTAGCTTTTAAAACAGATCTATAGTAGAGTTCAAGCATTTCTTAGAATTGCTATTTTTGGTCTTTAGACTCTCTCCCACTAATACTTGGTTTCTCACTCTTGGCACACATGGCATTTTGTGCTGGATGATTCTTTGTTGTGTAGGGTTGTTTTGTGTGTCATTCAATATTTTCTATCATTCTTGGCCTCTGGGAACTAGATGCTAGTAACTTCTACCCCAGCTGTGACAAACAAAATGTATGCAAATGTAGTCAAATGTGCATTCTTTCTCTCTCTCTGTGTGTGTGTGTGTGTACATGTATACATGTGCAAAGTCTCCAAGAGCTATTATGATAAGAGAACACATATATCCTGATTGCTGTTATCAAAAGCTACTGGGATTAACTTATTTTGCTGTCATTTTAGATCATTGATTTGATATTGTTTCATTTGTTTGTATTCACTTTTTTATTACTTTAAAATTAAATTTTATTTTCTAAGTAAATAAAACATCTGCCTGTTTCAAAAGTAAAAATGAACATTCTGAAATATTTGTTCAGTAAAATCTCACTTCTGTCCCTACCCCTGATCATGTTCCAATCTATAGGTTACTGTTTCCATGAATTTCTAGCTTATTTGTCTTATATACAACATAGGGTACAATATACCATATTCTCTTTGAACCTTGACTTTTTTTTTTTTTTTTTACTTAGGAATATCGCCTGGAAACCCCTACAAACCAATTGATAGGAATTTTCCTTAGTGTTTTGATTGGTATTTCATCGTGTAACTGTTTCATTATTAATATCTTTTAGGAGTGAGCATTTAGACTGTTTATGTATTTTGCTAATACTACAAAATAATTCCATAGTGGATGTCTCTGTGCATATGCTGTTTTGGAAGTCCACATTTAAGATAAATTCCTATAACTGGGATTGTTGGGTCAAAGGGTAAATGCACACATAGTTTTGGTAGATTTTGCTCATTTCTCTTCCATATCATTTTGCATGGTATGGGAAATGATACTGTTTTGCATTTCTACCAGCAAGACATGAAGGAATGTGTTGTCAAGTTATGAATTTGTGCCCATCTGATAAGTGAGAAATAACTCTATATATGATTAGTGTAGTTTTGATTTGCATTTCTCTTATTATGAATGAAGCTGAACAGCTTTACATATGTTTGTATCCCTTTAGAACCTTTTTGGATGGGCGAGAAGGTGAACTGTCTGTGTATGTCTTTCCTTACATTCCCATGAGAGTTTTGGTTATTTCCTTTCAGGCACTTTTAGAGGTAAATACATTGGGTTGATTAAGTGCTTATGATAAATGTTTCACATATTTTCATTCTGTTTGGCATTTGTATTTTGACTTTAGATTTGACTTCCTGTTTTGCTATATCACATGATTAAAATAATATTTTAAAAAATTATTTAATGAAAGACTAAACAAAACAGAAAATGGGTAGAAATAATATATACATTCAGAGAAAAAATAAACAGTAAGAAATCACTAGTTGGTGTTTACATACTGTCCTTTTACAAATAGTTGTTCAAGATACAAAAGTGGAATATATGAAGTAGGAATTAAAACAGCGAGACTGCAAACAGTTCTGTTCAACTATCCAACAAAAAGTTAGTAACATGGTTGTCAATCCTATACACTTAAACATACATGCGTTATCCATATCTTCATTTATGTTTATATTAAACAAACTAAAGCAGGCTAAGATCATTCTGAACAAAGAATAATAGTATTGCTAGATTTCACATCATGACACTCCGGGATCAGCACTGGGTACTTTAGTGTCTTTATTTCTTAAATAATATTTTAAATATTTAGATATGCTTATTATATTGTTTCATATCTGGATTTGAATCAGAGGTTTCTCCCACACTGGATTTAAAGATATTCATCTAAGTTTTCTACTTCTTGAAAGATTTTGTGTTTTTGTTTTACACGGGTTATATATTTGAAGTTTCAGATATATAATATAATATATTTGAAATTGATTTTTGTGGATCTAGTTATATCTGTCTTTCAAATAGTTATATTTTCCTCAACACTATTTAATAGTCTTTCTTTTCCCTGCTGACCTATAACCTACTTTCATCGCTGTGTTCCATCCCACAGCCTATCTCTCTGCCCACATTAGAGCACAATATTTTTTTCCTTCTCGCAGAAGTTTTACAGTGTGCTTTCATGTTTGGTGGAGCTAGTTCTTCCCTCATTACTTTTTTATTGGTAGTTTGCTAGTTATTCTTGCATATTTGGTTTTTCCATGAATTTTAGAGTCATCTTGGCTAACTACACAGATTTATTACATGTTTATTGGGATTGCATTAAATTTATACATTTATTGGAGTACACATCATTGATATCTTTGTAATGTTGAGTCTACCCCACAGAAAGAGGAAACTTCTGTTTCATGAAATCTACTTTGTCAGAAATATTTCAGAGATTTATGATATAGTTATGTAAATGTTATATTTTTCTTGCTGAGTTTATTGCTGATCATTTTATCTTTTTGTAGGCCTTGCAAACAGCTTTTATCTTCTAATTGATTAAGATTTGTATATTTGAAGGCTATGGGCTTTTATGTTATTTTGATATCTTGATATCTTACTGAGTTATTTTATTATTTATATTTTATCACTGAATGGCTAAGAATTTCCCGAGATTTCATCATATCAACTACAACTAAAGACAGGACTTCCTCATTTAATGACCTACCTTTCTACTGACTGTCCAGACTTATGATGTGTCTTCTCTCTTGTATAGTTCTGTACATCTTGTTTATAGAGACTTAGTGTCTTTTCTTATACAGTACCCTTTGTTTGTACAGTACTGTAATTTTTGCTGATTGTATTATACAGGATAGTATTACAGTTTTATGTTCTGTTATACATTTCAGTACTGCATGTAAGAATTTTGCAAATAAAACCAAAGTCATCAAATTGGAGTTTCCTTTGACCATTCCTTTGTTCCGAATATCATAATTCCTATCATACAATTCCTTATAGGAATGGAGCTTTGTCATTAAACAAAGAATGTTTATTTTAACTCTTGCTTTCCAATTTTTTGTCATGTTGTTAGGACTCACCTTCTGACCTTTTGCATTTTCCTGCGCTGCCTTTGGTGTTCATATGATTCTTAAGGTAGCTTTGTTTATTGTTCCTGATGGCACTGGAATTAGTAGAAATGTGATGTGACTTAACAACTCTCTAGACTTAAAACAAGGAGTGCATCAATGTGCCCCACTGAAGCTGGCCCCTCATCTCTCAAACAAGCTTTCACCTCATTCCTAGTATTTCTGGGTATTCCTAAAGCTTGACTTTAGCTTTGACTTTTCTTTCTCTTCTACCTCCACATCCTACCAACTGCTAATCCATTCAGATTTCACTTCTGCCGAGATTCTTCCTTTCCCCCGTATCTAATGTAGTCCACTGAGTATGACGGCTGAGGCCCATTGAGACCGCAAGGGGCCAATCCAGTTTTAAATCTCACATAGAATTGGCTCTGTCCTCTGTTGCTCCTGTGTTCTGGTTTAATTTCTACACAGGCCTACTTTTCCATGTTGCCTGAAAGGAGTTTCTGGGAGTGCCGTTAGTAAACTTGTTGCCTGAACACCTGACTTTCAGAGTGTGTTTTCTGGGCTCCACCCATGGCATCTCTTGCATTCCTACTGCCACCACTCCATTATTTCTTCCCTTGCATGTTGCAAAAGCTTTATGCAAGTCTATCTGCTCACTAACTACTTTTTAAAAAAAATAATTGGCCTGTAGAATGATGGTCAAATTATTTGAGCTACAGCATATCTATTAAGTTTCTGCTTAAAAACTTGGTGATTCCCAGCCTGGACTGTGTGACCAGGTTCTTAATCTTTATTGTAATCTTCAAGGCTCATTGTAGTAACCTCACTATTCCCATCTCTACTGTCCACTCTAGTGCAAGTATTCTACAGTCTCTTTAGACTTGTCTACTTGCTGCCGTATGTAAGTAAAAATGACTCTTTTCTACATTTGTATCATGTTTTCTCTCTTCTACTATCCTTTTTAAAAAAATACAATTCTAACTATTTCAAGGTCCATTTCAAATACATATTCTCCATGAAGATTTTCCTTATACCTTAATCCAGTGCCACCTCTTCTTCTTTAGTCATCACAATGCATCTTATACTCCTCCTTGGCATTCCTTTCATTATATTCATTATGTACTATTTCACTATTTTACCTCTCTTTCCTATCCTATCTGCACTTATGGAAGACACTCTTCCATATGAGGTTTTAACTAGATCATATTTGTATTACTTAAAGCAAGGAGCATAATCCTTAATACTAAAGTCTAACAAACTACTACTAAATCTAAATGGATATAAACTATCCATTGTGCCATTTTTGACATCCATGTCTGACATTTGTGTCAATTCCTCGTATCTTTCCAATATCTCAAGTGTGTAGTGGGAGAGGTGGTCTAATGAAGGGAAATACTTACAATGTTTTGTTGAAATTATATTTAGTAGTCAATTTTTCTAGTGCAATTTTTATTGGAATAAGATGCTTAAGATTCATTCATTTAAAAAATCTTGGGCTGGGGTTATAGCTCAGCAGTACAGCACCTTCCTGGCAAGTGCAAGGTCCTGAGTTTGATTCCCAGTATCAAAAAAAAAAAAAAAAAAAAGGTCTCTAAGATTAAGGATGAATTGTGCCCCCATAGGTGATTTTCCTGTCTTTTGAGACATAGGCAAGAAGTGTCAGAAATTTCTGAAGGTGGAGAGAAAGGCCATAGGACCATGTAATCATCTGGGATGACATCAGATCCATGGTGCAACTCAGAACACAGCTGTGGGGCAGGAGTCTGGAACCAACCATAAGCTTCTTTATTTCCACTTTTCATCTTACAGTGGCGGTGATGTGACGTTTAGTTTCCTTATTCTTTACAAACAACTTTACCTTTTTCTTTTTTCATATACCTTAGTCTCATTTTATTAATTAACATCTCTTTTTCAGTCAAGTGAGAAAGTCAATGTGGTGCCACATTTTTCTAAACACTGTTGACTAATACATGATTCCAATTAGAGAGATTGAAAATAGGGCATCAGTTAAAAATATACTATTGGTGTTAAAATACTACTTAGGGAGGCAATCTGTGGGGAAAATATTGAATGGGGTATCATATATCTCAGATATACTTAAAATTTTATCTCTATTTATATCATCTTATTTCTCAGAGCAAGCTAACTACAAATAGGATGGTGCTGGAAAGGTAACTTCTCATTTTTAGGGTGTAAAGTGGTGTTTGCTACAAGTGGAGTGTGGTAACAGAAGATATGGGATTGTGTTTACATAGAATCTCCCATTGAAAGCAATTTGAGTGCTTCATAAACATCACCTTATGAATTTATTCCATCTCATTAGCAGGTAGATAGAGTTATTAATGCCATTTAGCTCTGAAGAAACTGGAAGAGAGACGGGTTGATCTTCCCCAGTCAGTGCTCCATATGACCACACAGATTAGGCTTCCCTAGGCTTCTGATTCTTGGTACTATGACAATACTTGCATAAATGATGTAGCCCTATTCTGATTTTATGCTGTTATCATTTTATTCCTTAGTATTAGACTATTAAAGTGTTCTCACATAGAAAATTTCACAGATACTTTGTATTATAATATTCTGTGTCATTCTTTAAACTTCAACCAGACTTTTATTACTGTAGTAATTCTTCAAAGATTTGCTTTACCCTATATATTTAGAGATTACTTTCAGTATCATAAGTATACAGCTGCACTCCTAGACTTGAGTCAACTAGCTCTAGATTGAAAGAATACAGTATAAATTCAATCATCAAAACATATGTGGAGATTAAAGTAAGTCATAACAGGACACTGACCCTTGGTTTCAGGGAGAAATGGAGACTGACCCAGGAGGGAAAGTTCTATAGATAGTCTTCTGTGGGCATTAAAATATATGAAGGATTTGGAATAATTTCAGAGAAAAAAAGGTTATTTAAATAACAGGCTAATCTGTTAAGTTTCATTTCTAGTTCTTTGTCACAGAAGTCTGAGAGAAGACCTCCTCCTTGGGTAGCTCTGAGACAAGGATGAAATGACACTGGTAATATGCAAGAGTATTTTGGCATGTTTGATCAGCATTTGATTAGAATTAAGTTGTAACTGAGGACAGATTTGTGTGAGTTAAGACGTTTGTAACTCTGTTTTAAAGACTACCAGAAATGGATAAAAAACATCTCCAAAGCAATGTATTTCAGGAAAAGAAGAGCTCCTGATTGTCTTCAGTAGGGAATGAATTATCTTCTGTCTGATACGTATATGGATCTAGCGTTTCAGTGAGGGAGATACATGCCGGCCCGCTGACAATTGTTGGACAGTCTCGACGTTGCCACTAATAATCTGTTGACAGGAACACCTGGCGATAGTGACAGAGGTGAGTGTCATTAGAGAAGGAGGCATGGAGGCCACAAGGAGGGCAGATTGGCCCAGAACATAAGAAAGGGAGCCAACTAGAGCTCCATTAATTGTCACTTGGAAAGTTTTAGGATCTACATATTTTTGGACTCTACTTGGCACAGAATAGTGTTCAGTTTGTTCATTTTCTTTATGGCCATGCATTAACACATCTTCCAGGGAGAAAACCTAATCACACCCTTTCTGCAGTTTTGTAATTGAGCTTTTAAAAGCACAGAATATTTTGGACCTGGTGTTCATTGGATCATTTTCCTTGTGCCAAGTAATTTTTGGCCTCATAGCACTTGGGAAACATGTTTTGGAGAGTCTGTCTAACATTGTGGGTGGGGTGATTTCTAGAAGACTCAAAGCAGAGCTGTAAGACCAGTGATTAGTACTGATTCAACAACTTCACAGCTATGCGGAACATGCACAGTAATAGGAATGCTCTAAGCCCGTGCTGGGTGACACATCTTCCCCATAGGTTAATAGAAGAGTGCTAAATAGTGTGTGTTACACATTTTTGATCTTTATCCAAATAGTTTCTGCCAAAGGTATTTGGTAATAACAACTTCTGTGTACTTCATTAGCTGCTTATAGTGTATGAAATGTTTTATACAAATAAAATAATTATAAAATAAGTAAAATAACAATGCATTGTTTTCCTTCTTTGTTTACTACCTAAAGAAAGAAAACTTTCCTAATCTCTTTGACATTTCCTATGAGTTACTTCTTACGTTCCCTCATTTCAGAGGTAACAACTATCTTAACTTTTGTGTTTATAATTTTTTCTTTGATGTTTTTATAAATACATTCATGCACATACTCTTTCATATACATATATGTATGTTATAATAGTACATGCATATAGTATATATATAGCCCTAATAAAATAATATTTTACAAGTCTTTGAACTTTATACATGAAAGATATGTATTCTATGTTTTCTTTTGTGATTTGATTATTTATTCAGAATTTTATTTGTGGGATTTATGCATATCTGTTGCACAGATTAAAATATAGTTGTCCCTCAGTATCCCTAGGAGACTGGTTCTTGGATCCTGAGGATACTAAAATCTGTGCATGGACAAATCTTTTGTACACAGTGGAGTAAAACTTGCATATATTCTGCACATATCCTACAGTATACGTGAAGTCATCTTTAGAGTACTTTTATAGATAATGCAACGTAAATGCTATGTAAATAGTCATTATCCTGTATTGTAGAAAATGTTTGTGCATGTTTGATATAGACACAATTTTTTTCTCTGATGTTTTCTGTCCTCGGTTAAATCTATGGGTGTGAAACCTACAGTCAACCCGCAGGCAGGGTTGACTGTCTTTAACTGTACAAGTTCACCATTTGTTACCTACTTTTCCCCTTTTGATGAGCAGCCAGATTGTCTCTTGGCCATCAGAGACATTCTTGTGCAATGTGCACATCTGGAACTTCAGTAGATAATGCCAGATTGTTTTCCAAAATCAGTAACCAGTTCATACTCCTACCAACAATGAGTGATAGTTCCTGTTGCTCTACATCTTCTCCAAAGTTTGGAATAGATTTCCAAATTCTTACTAATTTAGTAGTCATGGAAAGTGATCTTGTTGACTTAGTGTTATTTTCTGTGGTTACTAAAAATGTTTCTAAAAATGTTGAGCTTCAAATTATGCATTTATTGGTGATTCATGATTTTTTTCTTTAGTTAAACGTCTTTTTACTTGCTTGTTTTGTTATTGAGTTATTGGGTTTTTCTCATCTGTTTTGGGGAGTTCTTTAATATTTTGGATGCAAGGGCTTTCATGGTTGTGTACATTTTAAACATTTCTCTCTTTTGATTTCTTTCAATATAGTCTGCTATTTTTGAAAAATATTTAAGCAGATAGACATATATTCTCTAGTTACTATTTAAAGAAGTAAAACTAGGTTAAACTGTTCAGAATGTTTTTATTGTTGTTTTGTTTTGTATTCTGAGGCGAGGTCTCACTTTGTAGTTCAGGCTAGCTCTGAACTCACTGTCTAGTCCAAGCTGACCTTGAACTTGCCATCTCCTACCTCAGCATTTCAGGTCCTGCGATTACAGGAATGTAGGACTTTACTACTCTGGGAGAAAAAACTTATGAGTAGGGCTGTGGGTTTGTCTTTCTCTGGGCCATAGTCATATCTTCTCTTTCCCCCATGACTCCCACTCTATGTTCCTACGTTTCTCTAACTTCTCTTGTCTTCTGGAAATAAATGAAAGAGACGCATAAGTAAGGCATTCATTTATTTTGCTCAGCAGACCAAAAATAGTTCAGGCAGAAAAGTAAGATATATATAGATATGTATCTATATCTATATATATGTATATATGGATAAAACAAATGTATAATTGTCGATGTCGCTCCCGGCCGGCAGGAAGGACACACGACAAAGTCTGGCAGTGGACAACCTTTTCTTTTATTTTCTCTCCGTACAGCCTGCCCTGGGATCGCTCCCAGCCGAAGCCTCCTCTGGTCCGCTCCCCGCGGCTCCTTCCGTGCTTCGCTCCGAAGCCTCTACCGGTCCGCTCTCCGCGGCTCCTTCCGGGCTTCTACTTCCCCCCAGGGGTGGCACCAGTATATATACGGATACAGTGTCCAATCATATTAAAGTAAGCAAGGCAAGCTGATTGGCTAACATATTATTGAGCGGGTTGTTTACGCGGTAAGCAGGAAACTAACGTGCTCGATGGGAGGGGTAATCTAACTCAGGCTTTACTCTTTACCACAGGCCGCATGATCGCTATATGCGGCGGCTCGGCAATGTGGTGGCTCCCAACATATAATGTACTCTGTCTTCACAATTATATCTTAATAATCTGTCTTTGAATACACACACATTTGAGTTTGAGAAAATATGTAGAATTTCAAGAAGGAGCCATGTATTTAATCTATAAAGGGACACTTACAATGCAAGAGCCTAGTTGAACCTGGTAGTACACAATTATAATCCCAGCTACTCTGGAGGCTGAGGCAGGAGAGACAGCACTCTACGTTTGAGGCCAGACCAGACAACTTAATGAGATCTTGTATTCATAAATAAAAAAGGGACGGTAATGTAGCTCAGTGTGGGTCCAGTAAAAAAAAAATTCTAGGAAAGTTTTTATCCACTCTATTCACTAAACCAGGATGGTTATTTTTGAATAATGGTGCTTTTTCCTTGCTGAAAAGTAAGAAGGCAGGTGCCTGAGAGCAAAGAGTTTGAGAAAAAGGAAGGTGATCTTTCCTCTGAAGATCTCAGATATATATTATTATAGATCCCAGCTTATACATGTGGATGTTAAGCAATTTGCCTAAAGGGACTCACTGACTAGGGCTGGGAAAAATCTCCAGCTTGCGTTATAGCTAGACTGTGTTGACAGAAGTCAGGCTCTGCAGACTGTTTTGTGAGTGTAATGTTAGCATAATGTTAGCAAACAATAAAGCAACATCTGCTCCAGACACAGCCAGGGAAATCACGTTCTTAAGAGCACAAAGTGACCTGGGAGAAAGGAGGTAAATCTGAGAAAGATGAGCTCTCTGACTGCTCACATTTTTATTAGAGACTTGTAGAATTGAATGTCTTCCTTCTGTGAGTTACGCTGAGACCATCTGAGACACTCAAGTTATTTCTACACAAGACTTCTTTATTCCTCCACTCTGATAATGTTCATTTTCTTCTTGTCTCCTGGGGATACAGTGTTTCTGGAAAGAGGGGAGGAGAGCAAAGGGGCTATACTGCTGTGGGGGGAAGGTTTGTGGAAATAACTCTGAAATAAATCCTAACATAGCATTAAAGAGATGGTTTAAGGAGTGTTTCCTCATAATGCACTTGTGAAAAAGTAAGCATGTCATTTAGACCGTTCCTAGCTTATTGAATTGCTACCACTGACTTTTCATAGTTTGGATAAAATATGTAACCAAATTCTAACATACATTGTGAAAACCCATATGGAAAATCCTTTTTCATTCAGAGCAAATGACCTAGAAGCACTGTGTCAGCCACAAGAATGTGTCCCCATGAATATGACACCAGCACCCCAGCCTGTGGTGTTGCTAGAGTGTGCCACACAGGAGCTATGACCTTTATTTTGCTTCACATTCTTTACCAGGCTATTTTTAATCTCTTAGGCAAGAAGTGATGTGGGGATATTATTGTGTTCATAAAGATTTCCAGGATGAGGGAATTCCCACTATTGGACCAATTTTGCCACTTCTGAGTTGTATTATGCAGAAAACCTCCTGGGCCGTTAATGTTAATATGTTCTTACGTACACGCACTGATATCCCTGTGTGTGTAAATCATGTATGTGTTTTTGGTGCAAAGCCCTTCTTTTTATGCCCTAGGGGGCAAGATAAATAATTTGACTTTTGTCAATTACTTATGCATTTTGATACAAGAGTTTGGTCAGATACTTTTAAGAAATTACTTTTCAAATTGAAGTTCTTTAGGAAAAGAGCATTTGGTTTAAAAGACAACGGGAGTTAATTGTATAAAACACAAGGTGCTAAATTCTATTATTAGCAACTTGATGGTAGTCATAAGAAAGGGACTTTGGAAAGCTTGTCAGTTCTTTCACACCACTGACAAATTAGGGCACTAAGAGATGAACAATTTATCCAACTATTAAAAGTGCCTAATTTATAACTTAGAGCAGGTTATGTGGTGGCTCAACCTAATGCAATACAGTGTCATCTCTTGAGCCTAAAGAGAACCAAATGCATGTTTTCTTGAGGAATTTAAAAGTAATAGTAGAAGTAAATAGTAATAAACTCATTCATCTCAGTCATTTGTTGATCCTGTTATTAGACACATTTTTTATCAAAAGTCTGCTCAGAGTTGGGTACTGTTTTTTTTTTTTTTTTAATTTTATTTTGAAAGTAGTAAAAATGCAATAGCACAAGACAGAACAAAGCCAATCAAGACAATGCAGAGAAATTGGTACAGGATTTCACAGTAGGATACTGGGATAGTAGTAATAGGTACTATGGTATATCTCTTTAACTTCACAATAGTTGTCCAGTCAATTAGGCATAGCAAAATCAAACCAAAAATAGAACATTATAAAACCAATTGAGAATACTGAATAGAGCAAAAGAAACATAACAAAACAAAACAGTGAAAATAACCTTTGCCTTCAAACAGAAGACAGAAGGAAATCCCCCATATTTGCTATACTGCATATGACATCCTCCCAAGAGATGCTGAGACAGCTATCCCCAGGAGCTAGGGTAGAGGGTTGGGGGAAGGGTGCTTGATTTCCAGCTCGCGTGGCAGTAGGCTCACAGTTAATGGTTCTCCTCCAGGCCCACGCTGCAGGCGCTTACCAAGAGGGCAGGTGAATAAGCTGCCTGAGTCCCATCATGGCCGGATCTTGGGAGTTCTGGTTCTCCTCTTCTGGGTACTGTTTTACGTGCCAGTATGGATTACTGGTTAGACATGTCCATTTTTTAGGAGCCTATTTTTTTAGTGAGGAAGAAAGAACAGTAAACAATTGCATAGATTAACAGAAGATAATGTCCTTTAGTGATGATGACTGGTATAGAGACAGTAAAATGGGGCCATTTGTAGGGAGGGCTCAGGGAAGCCTGGTAAGGAAGTAACACTGGGGCTGAGGTCTGAACGCAGCACAGGGAAGGCCCAGGAATGGGGAGCATTGCAGGCAGTGGACAGCTAAGTCTGAGCCTGGGTCAAGTGTCTTCCTGGAGAGCTGGGCTTGAGGTGAGGGGCTGGCAGGAGCACTACATAGACAGGTTGAGGGCAGAAAGAAAAGCAGCTTTAAGAATCAGCTTTATGAATCAAGGTACAGAGGCCGAACTTCTAGAGATAAAAAGTCAGTGTCGGGTTTTCAGTAGGCCACTGACCGTGATTACTATGTTGGATATAGAGGCTCACAAGACCAAGGAAGACTGTTCTGTGGGCAGTGAGCACTGTGAAAACGGGCTAAAGCACTGTGAAAACGCAGAATTGAAACAAGGATGCTAGAGGCTTACACCAGGGTGACAGCAAGGGACACGGAAAGAAAAGCAGAACTCGGGTACTTGTCCATGAGGGTGCTGTTAATGCCATGAGAGGTGCCAGAGTGGGAGATAGGATTTATGGGTTCAGTTGCATTTGAAATGCTGGTGAAACATGCAGGTCAAGGCTAGTGATCTGGGGACACTGCCAGGCTTGGTTTCTGCTGATCAATAAATAGAACATCAGGGAAAGCTGGCTGAGCATGTCTTTACCAAAACTTTGAAAGCCTGAGTCAACTTTTTCCACTGCCTTATCTTTCAATCCTCTGGTTTGTCTTCCCCTTGTCCCAAGGAAAAGAGCTCCTGGGGTCAAAGAATTAGGGACAGATTTGAAAATACTTGTAGGCTCCACCTAGAAAATGCAGTTTCAACACATCACCCACTCACCCCTTCTAGTGTGCTTCTCTGTCAGTCTGGGATTTTTCAGATCCAATTTGAATTACATTCCAGGGGCGACTGTGCAAGGAGAGAGCAGGTTGTGCTTGTATTGTTCCTTCCCCTCATTCTTCCAGGCAAACAGGCTATAAGTGTGTCACTAGCCAGCAGAACTTTGGGTGATAGATGTTTTTTTTTCCTCTTCTACTTATCACAATGTAGTCAGACTTAATGAAGACTGGTTATCTATTAGTCATCTGGTATTCTAAGCACGCTGGGGTGGACTCCCCCACCTGCCTAGGGCTCGCCAGAATTGTAAGCAAGTTTGTCCCCAAATGCCAAAGACATTACACATTTTGTCATTTCTACCAAAAATCCAATATTTAGGCCAGAATGTTAATAATACTGTAAATTCATAAAGAATAGAACTGACATTTAAGAATGTAACAGTGAAGGAAAGCGAATATAGCAAAAGACAGACTCGGGGCTGAACTTGGCTCTTTAGAGAGTCTTTTAGGGACACACATGAAAATTCTTCTTTATTGATATTTCTCATTTTTTTTTCAAAATTAATTTACATTAGTGGGAAAAAATCATAGGCTTTAGAAAATTACAGTCTTGGGTCTTCTCCAGTCTCTGCTACATTTTAGTTTTAAAACCTTGGAAAGTACTTTGAGTTTTCACTTCCTCATCAAAAAATGTCAAAATTATAACAGCCTCTAGAGTTATTCAGGCCCTGGACCCAGCAATTCTACTTCTAGGAAATGATCTCAGGAAATGATCATAGAAATCCACCAAGACACATTTATGAAGAATGTGTCTCTGCAGCATTAAAATCCTGAAACTGTTTTGAGTTTGAACAAATTTAGTGACACAAAAAATGATTCAGAATTTTAAGTGAAAAGTTATAAATTTATACACATTGTGATTAAGAGAAAGACTAGTTAGAGAAGCTTAACATATCAACAGTGATTAGATCTGTGTGGTAAGACTCTAGAGGAAGATTATAGGCTCTCTGCTCTTTTAGATTTCTCCAAAAGCCGTCCAGTGATGTGTACTAATTTTTTAATGCTAAAAAAATTATTAAATGGGAACACTAATATTGACCATATATGACTTAATGAGATCTTAGCAAGACCTTGCATCAAAATAAAAGATAAAAAGGCCTGAGGATGTAGCTCATGGGAGTATATTTGCTTGATACGTGTGATTCCCTGAGTTTAGTCCCTAGCACTGCAAAAAGAAAAACGAACAAATTAACCCAACTGATTTGTGCTGAGAATTGTATCAGATGAGATGATTTATAAAAATCACTTAGCTTAGTGCCTGACATTTAATTGTTATTTTTGGTTATAGTTATTTGATTATCTTATTATAAGCTAAATCCAAAATAATTTTTGACAAAAAACAAAAACATTAACATTTAGTGGGTGATTTGTCACCATTAAGGGCATTCAAGAGAATACGTGGCAGGTTCTGAGGACAATTGCAGAAGAAATGTACCTAAAATTCTTTGAGCATTGGAAGAGACACTGATGTAAGCGTTTACGTGAGGTGGTCACTCAGGGGCATTTCTCTGGACCTGCTTCGGTTTCTTTGCTTAGAAAACTCATCATTACTATATAACCACATTGGGTACATACCTTAGACACCATCTAACTCAAGATGAGTGGTTAATCTGTCATGATAAATGTCCCTCTTCTCTGAGCAGATAAAAAGTGTTTTGTCACAGCCTCCTGTGTCATTTCTGAGACACTGCACACAAGCCCTGTTGCTTTTTCTTTGCAACCTTTTCATCTTGCAGAATGTAGATGGAAGCTTTGTGGTATGAGTGCAAGACACACTGCATTACCTTCTTTCTTCTGGGATGGCTTATTTGCAGTGGGCTGTGCCTGTCTCTCTCTGCCCAGGATGCGCACACGTGCATACACAGATGCACACAGACACATATTTCAGATATACCTACCTCCCTATACTCACAGACACACAGACATGCAGACACACACACACAGTGTGTTGACACACAGACATATCCACCCACACAGAGACATACACACCCACACGCATGTACTCAGGGACATGCACACACAGCCACAGATACACCGACCTACACTACCACCCCCTGTTCTTTCCTCTTGCTGTTATCCTATCCTTTCTCCCTTCCCCAAGCTGAGTTAGCACGCTGCCTTCTCTTCTGTCTTAGCAATTCCACAGACTATAGCACACTGTAGTTCCCTTATCTCATTCCCCACTAGCGTCTCTGAGAGATGCACCACATCTCTTAGACCTGTCATTTCTTCCTCTTAGTTTTTCATCTGCAAATGGGAACATAACGTCTCCTTTAGAAGTTTATTGTACACATTCCATTGTGCAATGGAAGTAGAGTTCCTGGCACATACAAAGCACTCAATAATGGAAGCTATTATTATGATTAATTATGTTATTTATTCACTTTTGTGTCTTCAGGGCCTGGCACATTGCCTGATGTGTGATGAGAGAAAAATAAATTTCTGATGAATTAATGAATTAACTTACAAGCTTACAGACTGTGGCTTAAGGTAAAAGAAAAATGTTGTTTTGTAGTGTTTACTGGGAACTTTAGCAATAAACCCACACACTTCCTGTTCTTACCACTTTCCCCAAACAATCTCTCTGGTGCCCATCATTGGGCATGATCTTTCCTCTGGCATTGCAACTGTTATCATGTAGATACAGAGAGTCAATTGACAGTCAACACCATGTACTTGTAGCTTAATAGGGATAAGTGGAATTTTTCTCCCTTAACTATCATCTTAATCTATTATGTTCATTGCCCGCAGAACAGTCTTCCTTGGTCTTGTGAGCCTCTATATCCAACAAATGACTTGTGATCTAGATGATATAAACCCCACTGCTAACTTCAGACTCCATCTGATCTGTTCATTCCAATCTATTCATCTCTCTCCATGTTCACAAATACCCGTTGGTTAATTTGCATTCCACCTCCATATTTTTCCTACTTCCTTTTAGGAAGTTGTTTGTGAATTATTATAAGCCGGTTGAATCACTCCGAGAGTTACGTGCTATTTTTAAACTTTTGAGGAACAGTTGAGAAGGAATGATTTGGGGATGTGCCATATTTCATAATAATATCCCACAGAAACTTCAGCTTACTGACTCTGCAGTCAGTTGCAGCATATTAAGACACTACAGATAAATAGGTCACTGCTCTTGGATACCAACTGCTAAGCTGTTCAATGACAAGAAGCCTAGTGGAAGCAGTGCTGTATAGTTGACAATGTCTTCCTTTCCAGTGCTTTTGGGATTTGCTGTTCTCTCTTGCTGGTATCTTTGCCAGGGTATAGAAATTTGGATTTTTAAAAAAAAAAATAGGATCAGTGTCTCAGGTCCTCATCAGATTTCTTGTCTTTTACTGGGATCTTGCTCTCCAGAGATTTTGTGGCAGATCTAGGGTCCTTCTAGGGAAGTCTGTGAGCAGACGTCCCCAAAAGCACACAAGGTGAAAACCCTCCTGATTGATCATCCTAATTAATTTTTGAACCTTTTCCGAGTTTTCAGCTCTCCAAGCAATGTGCATTTGCCAAGCAAAGCAAGGCAAAACAACAAACAATAAACCCTACTGGCTCCAAGAAGTCTTTCCAGATTGGTAAGAACATAGAGGTTTTATCTCATCTCAGCTTTTGTAGATCTTGAGTTGATTGTTCTCATCTCGGTTGTGCCCTGCTCCTTGCTTATCTGGAAATCTACATCTTCTTGATCAACCACACTGTGTGTCTTTATTGCACTGGTTCAGAACATGATTTTTGGTCATAGAGAGCTCAGTTAGATTGGGAAGACCAAGTTTACTTATTGCTTAACCCAATTTTTCTTGTCGTTGATGAAATGTTTCACAGACTGTACCTTCCAGTAACCCAGGTCCTGTGAGTTGTGGGAAAACAGCCGTGGGATGTTAAAGCTGATGAAATCTGAAGTCAGATCTTCTCTCTTCTTTAACCTAGTTTCCACTTATTTAAAGAATCAATAAAAGTTTAAAAAGTTGTTTTACTAACTGCAACTTCAGAAATTACAATAGACATTTTTTGTTTTCAAAGTCCAATCTTTATAGTGGAAATAAGAAATTTCTGAAGCCCACCTTCTTTGAATTCTTTTGGGATTTACTCTAAGCCACATTTTTAATTGAAGGAAGAGTTTCTTTCTTTTGTTTGTATTCTTTGAGGTGCAAATGGGTAGGAGTTTTTGGAGTCAGATATATCATGATTCATGTTTGCAGAATTTGAAGTCTTTTTCTCTGGTATCTTTAAGCTGACTTTACTTGTAGGAGTGTTCTTCAGTGCAGAAAAAAAGCTTTTACTTCCACTATGATGTGCAAGCTTTACAAGTAATTAACAAGATACTTTAGGAGTCTGTATTTTTTCATAATTTTTACCTCTTTAAAACTGAGTGTATGATTCCTAGTTTTTGGATTAAGAAGTTTCTGTATTTGTGTCAATTTTGCCTTGGGTTTGCGGCCCATTGGAGAGTTATCCAGAATCAACAATACGTGAAGAGTGGGCCAGGAGGGGACAGCAGCCTCTGTCATGCAGTGCCCTTGTGAGTGCCCCTGCCTCAAGGCTGCTGTAGACCTTGCAGCCTTTTCTTACTAACATTATAATGGCTATAATATTTGGGCATTTCTTCATAGACATTCAGCAGCTTCCTGTCATTGATTAGGAGTATCAAGTCCACAGTTTTCATCATGTTATGGAGTTTAGATTAAAACATATATCTGTATATACACTCTATAATGCAAGACCCAAACTTCAGGGAAAGTACCACTCCATGCATAAGATGACATACTTTGATTTTTTCCCATTGAAGTCATGACATTCCATACCCCACCTCGATATATACGCCCCACCCATAATTACTCATTACTCTTGACATGTGGAATACCGAGAAAATCTAATGCTAAACTTTGGAGATGTTCCCATGATCACTCATTTCACAAGAAATAAAGATGTTCACAGTAATATTTTTGTCCCTTTGTTGCTGTCATCTCTGATAATAATTGATAGCACAGGCAGTTTGGATGTTTATGTTGTATTCAGACTTGAGCCATTTCCAGGGAATGGTGATGTGTTTTTGAGCTCTTGGCAGTGGAGAGGATGTGGAGTTTGGAGACGCTGAGGAAGTGCTCTCTCTGACTATTTGCGTAGACATCTTCATGGTGCTGGGCTGGTGCCTTCACAACTGAAGTAAGTGAGTTTTGTGGGCAGAGTCCTCATGGGCTTGTGTATATGAGACCCACATAAAAAGTAGTGCAATACTGTAATGAAAATTTTTCCTTCAAATAGCCCTGATCTGTTACTTAACTGACATTAAGCTTCAGTGCATAAAATAAAATTAAATGTGGTGTCAATAAATCCTGGATGTGTCAATAAAGAGCTGGAGATTGGAGGAAGATAGAGAGGACAGATGTCTAATTTCTGTCCTTTGTTGGGCCGTGGGTCTTTAGCAGCTATGCTCTCAGCTGTCAGAGAGAGGTTGCCGACTTTTTCCATCCTTTTATTCCCATTTCCTTTACCCCAGGAGAGTTCCAGAATTTTCTGTTTCTAGATTAGGAGCACAGATAATATCTTTCTTCCTGATAGAAAAATAATAAATAAAAAGATTGTCAACGATCTTCTCGTGATCTTGCGTCTCATTTTCTATATCTCATAGGTACTAGAGCGTGGAGATGATTGATTGGTCTGTAGATTAACAATGACCACAAACAAAAATTAAGCTCCTTCAGTCTTTGTGACCCCCCCTTCCTCTTCGTATCTCCTCGTGAGTGAGTCCCTGCTGGATTCGGCTGTGTTCCTCAGACACACAGCGGCTCATGGGCTTTGCTCCTGAGCCACCTCAGAGTGCTGAAGGCAGGGTGGCCTCATCTCCAACTTGCAAAACTATGGCAAGGTTTTTCCTCTTTTCTTTTTCAAGGGCAGTTCAATGCTCTGAAGCCAAGGTGTTCCCTTGCTGAGAAGCTTTAGAATTGTATGTCTCTTTCAAAATTATAGGAATTTTAATTTGCAGTAAAACCATATGAGTATGTTGTGGTAAGTTTTTGGCAGGATCTGGAAAATAATGGCTTCATTTAAACATGAATCATTAAAACGATGAACTCAATGCAGTCCTTACTGTTAGAACTGAGAGATTTCCTCCATAAAGCTCTCTGCCTTGCACAGACTACCAGTATGGAAGCCCAGAATTCTGTGAACGCAGAAAAGTTACATTAAATAGCATTTTCTTTTTTAAAAAATTATAAAGAACATATTTAATCTCATTATCTTTCTGAAGAAGTCTCAGGTTTCCAAAGCATTAAGAGACTCATTAAGACATTAGAAATAAATGTACCAAAAGGGAAAAAAAGGAAAAGCCAAAGAAAGTCGTTTCTCTCAAGGAAGACTTTGCAGGGAGCAGCGGACATGCGTGAAGGCCGCTGCTCCTCAGTGTGGAGGTGCTGGAGCTGGGCGCTTTGCTGGGCCCGGAGCTGCGAAAGTGCACAGAAAGCACCCTGTGGCCAACAGACCTGCAGTGGGTGATGCGGTGCCTGGGACCTGCGGTGACTGGGAGCCCCAGACGCCCTCTCAGTGTGCTTAGCTGCAAAGTCAAATGACACAACGTGTTGCTTCTGAGTCACAGAGATGGCAATGGTTCTTGTCAGATTAGGTTGATTTTTAAGCATGGGGAGACTTGTTCATCATTACATGATGAAAAAAATTAAAATGCTTTCCCCGCAGAGAACTTGAAAGTCTAAAAGACAACATGATTGGCAACACAAATAGTAACTTTCATTTTGCTTTTTCAAACAGGAAGTTAAAAGTTTACATCTTCATCCTGTCCTCTGAGAGTGATTCTGTGTTTCGGAAGTTCATGTTTGGAGATGAGAAAAAGAAGGCAAATGACTGTACTTCCATGTGGAGAGAGAATGGGGCAGCTGATAAAACAAATCTAATTATAAAAATGGATGAAAACTTTTGTAAGTTAAATATTTTTCTTTTAGGCTATGTTAAGCCAATTATAAAACACAGTAAGTCCCCCTTTATCTGTGGTTTTGCATTCTGCAGTTTCAGTTGCTTGTGGTCAACCACCATCTTAAAATATTAAATGGAGAATTTCAAAAGTAAACAATTTGTAAGTTTTAAGTTACACACTGTCCTGAGAAACACCACGAAACACTGTATCATATGGTTTCATCCAGTCAGGAAGGTGAACCATCCTTTTATGAAATGGATCCATGCTTTATATGCTACCTGCCCATTAGTCACCTGGTCACCATCTTGGTTGTTAGATTGACTGTCTTGGCATCACAGTGCTTGTGTTCATGAAACCCTTACATAGTAGCCTAATGCAACCTCACAATGCCTTTGTCATTCACTTCCTTTTGTCTCATCAGCTAGGCATTTTATCATTTTACATCACCACAAGAAAAAGGGTGAATACAGTATAATAGTAGAGACCATATTCATAAAATTTTTATTACCAATACGTTGTAATTCTTCTGTTTTGTTATTGTTATTAATCTGTACCTGATTTATAAATTAAACTTTACCAAAGGTATATATGTGTAGGAAAAAAACATGTTTCTTGGAATGTATCCCACTTAGATTAAGGGGGGGTGCTATATCTGAATTTCACAAGTTAATATATTTCATATTTTGATTAAGAAAAACATAAAAATTGGTGAATTTGATTCTTTCAAGTCAGAATTGATCACATTCCAATGTTCATATGAGGCATTTTTCATACTGAATGATGCCCAAGGAGCTGAGGAAAGCATTAAGTTGCTGTTCCCCTATAATAAAGGCGGACACAGAAGGTGGGTATGGGTTTTGAATGCTGGTTTAGAAACTTGCATTTTACTTTTGTTGTCTAGATTCACAATTCAAAAATCCATTGAAGGAGAGGCCAGTTTCCTGTCAGCTCCTTTCCTGCAACCACCTAGTTTTGCTCCTCAAAGACAATCGTCCTTATCACTTTATTTTACTACTGCAGAGGTAGTGTGTTATAAGCTTCATTAAAACAACAACAACAACAACAACAACAACAACAACAACAACAAAAAGCTCTTCATCTTTCTACAGCAGCAGGTCATAAAGCTCAAACTTTTCCCACCAGGGAAAGTTGTTTTGCCTCATTCTGGCAACAGAAAGAAGATATGCTCATATTTTCTTTATAAAGTGACCTTGCTCTGAAAAGCAGCTAGAGTCAACCCCATTTCCTGGAGAGGAAACTGGTTGTAGGATATTGTGTAACCTGCCTTGTCACACAGGTTGTTCCTGGTGGAGCCAGGGTTCCCGTCCTGGTTTCAGAGGCCCTTCCTCACTCTCCGCTGCACAAGCCCCACAGGGCCTCTCTAGCACCAGTTAGATGGTTCTAGGATAAGTGCATTTTAGTTCACAGTCATGCTCCAAGAAGCTCATAAAGAGAAAAACAAACAAACAAAAAACAAAACAAAGCAAACCCCAGATAAACAAACAGAAAAACAGCATTGGTTTTTGGTGCTTGATACAGGCCTGGACCTTGTTAGTTACCTTCTTCGTGTTCTCCTGCCCAACTCTGACAGCAAGTTTAATTCATGGACACGTAAGACATAGAGGATGATCAAAGTAGCCTTGCTGGAAGAGCCTGGAAGTTGTTCATCATCTTTGACAGTTTATATCTGAAAACGTTCTACTGTCTTTGTCCTCCAATTCCCAGTGCACCCCACTTCATCCTTGAGATAGTGCCCCCCAACAACCCTGGGCCAGCTGAGTTTGTCATGTGATTGACTAACTCCCAGCTGCCCTATATTTATTTTTAAATTAATGTTATTGGTACGCTTTTGCTATATATAATGATCACACTCATCCTAGGGAATTCATACCTGTGTCTAATATATCTTGATTCTTTTTTTCCTCATCCTTCCCTTCAGTCTTTCTTTCTCTCCTTATTTACAAAAGCTTTGTTTATTTTTTTGTTGTTGTTGCCCATTTTGATTTGGCAATACTCAGTCCAGTTTCTTTCAAATTTGACCATGATGGATTTACAGCATAAATTTTAGTATCACTTTTCGTCAGTAGTTTCTAAAGCATTAAGCAAGAGGGCATGCTGTTCCCCACTTGCTGCACCATGTCACACTGGAGTGCCATTAATAATGGGTCTGCGTCATCCATATGCTGCTATTCCTCCACTGTCTAAATAATTTTGACATTATTTTTAGTCCCTGTATATTGTTCTGAAAGTTACCAAAGAGTGGAAGAATATCCTTCCAAAGGGTGATCTTTTTGAGAATGGCTTTATTAGCCATCATCGTTCACAAAGAATCAAGTGATCTATTGCTTACACTTGATCCAGGAACACTAAAACAGTCCTTATAGCTCTCTAGGCACCTAAAAGTCAGAGCCAATTAATAAAAAGGTGTGTAGGATGTGCTGTTTTTCTTCATTGTGTTAAAAGCAAAGCAACACTCTTGACCCAGAGCAGTGTTTCTTCAGACTAAATTGGGCAGGCTTTTGAATTGCTTTGCAACTATCTCAAAGTTTATTGAAATATATCATCAAATGTTTTGGTTTTTCAGTTGTCTGATAATCATGGGAGTCATGCTCCTTATTTGCAACATTAAAAGAGAAATTATGTGTAGCTCTTCAATGTGTGTATCTTACTCTTCTTACAGGAAAATGTCTCAAGAAGACAAAGAATTTGTCCTAAAAACTTGGGATGGTGGTACGTCCGTTGTCAGGCTGAGCAGCACTGCAGACACATCTGCATTCTTTGACAGGACTGAAGTAAGGTGGGAGCAGTGGCAAAGGCCACCCTTCACCACTGGGAGCTGGACCACTGACTGCAGTACAGAATTTCCAGCCTATGCACACAGGCCGAAACATTTCTAAATATGCCCCGGCGGATGTTCACACGTGCTATTATGGGTGGAATGTTTGTGTCTCTTCAAAACTCCTACAGGGAAGTCCTAACCTGCAAAAAAATTGTATTTGAAGGTGGGCCTTTGGAAGGAAATTAGGCCAGAATGAGGTCACAAGAGTTGACCTGCTCATGGTGGATTAACATTCTTTTAAGAAGAGGAAGAGGGACCACAGCTGTTACTGCCTGTACTATATAAGACACAGTAAGAAGACAGACATTCATAAGAGAGGAAAAAAATCTTACTAAAGAACTAAGTTGTCAGCTTCCTTGATCTTGGATTTGCTAGTCTCCATACTATAAGAAATACATTACTATTGTTTAAATCACTAAGCTTATGGAATTTTGATACAGCAACTAGAAGCCCTTTGTTCTCTGATGCTACTCAGTTATTGAGGTTTTACCTTTTCATTTAAGCTTTTTACCCAGTGTTTCTGTTTGCCTTGATTTGGGTCTTGTCTTGCTTATGACCTAGAGATGCTACCAGGTCAAAAGGCTTTTGCTGTTCAGTGGAAAATTTCTTCTCCAATATTTCCAAGTTTAAGACTGATGGTAGATTTCCCTAACAAGGAATATTTAGTTTTCCCTATAATTATTCATAGTCTTAATCACTGACATTGTCTTAAAATGATTTCATTTCTTCTCCCTTGTCTGTGCTTCTCCAGTGAAATTTGAGCTCTGTGAAAGTTAGGACTTATTTTCTTCTGCTTTTGCATCTCTAGTCCCTACACCCAGACCCAACAGGTACTGAGTAGATGATTGAATAAGGAACAGCCCTGGACCGTGATAAAGGTCAGTAGGGAAGAAGAGGACCTGAAATGCATAGCTAGCTTGGCCCCTGAAAAGAGCAAGCAATGCCCAGTGAAATCCGCAAGCTGGAGTTTCTGTAGCAGCTTTACTTTTAACTGCCAAACTTGGAAGGAACCAATAAGTAACCTGTGGTGCTTCTAGATGATAGAATGTTCTTCAGTGCTGGAAAAAAAAATCAAGCTATCAAGCCACAGAAAAATATGAATGAAACAACATTGATTATTACCAGGTGAAAAAGGAAATCTGAAAGGTTTCAAACCTTATGATTCTAACTATATTACATTGTGGAAAGAGTAAATTATAGAGAAATAAAAAGGTCAGGGCTTAAGAGTGCTTAGAGGACAGGAAGCAATGGAACGAGAGAATAGTGAAAATACTCTATATGACACTACGGTGAAGGGTTATGCCATCACCCCTGAACCCAAGCCCACTGAGTACGTAACACCTCAGATAAAAACTAAGTCATCTGTGGGCTCTGGGCCACAGTGATGCATGACATAGGTCCACCAACTGCAAAAAGTGTAGTAATCTGGTAGAGAATACTGATGATGGAGTGTGTGTTTTTTCTCTGTTTTGCTGTGAATTTAAAGCTGCTCTAAAAATAGTCTTTCAAAAGTTAAGAAATTCTCTGGATGATGTTTTTCTGAGGGTGCCATTTCCATCCCCCTTTCCATTTATTATCCTGGATAGTATCACATTCGTTTTCTTGCTCTGCCTCAATCTGGATGTTGTAAAATGGCAAATAATGGTTTTAGGGAGTTTATGGGGGAACGGCGTGGCCAGTCAAATAAATTGTAATTTATATCAACAATTTAGATTCAAAACCAAGGAAAAAAATCTAACACAGACAGCAATTATATTCTCAGATTTTCCTTTGTTTAGAGAGACTGTAACACTAGAATCCTGAAACAGTTACATCCAGGAAAGAGGGGAAAAGCACTTCTTTAATAGGCAAGTTCGAGATCTAAATAATTACCTTGTATTATCATATAAACTTCCATGTGGATACAAAGTATGGGAAGAGTATTTACAGATTTTCATAATTTATTGAATAATTCAATTTTTCCATGTGGCATCCCAGTAATTTTCTCACTGAATAAGAACAATTAGTTACAGTTGGAGGAAACCAACTTAAAACAGGAAGTGAATTATAAAGCAAATAGATGATTTTAATATGAAGAGATATAAAGGGCATATTCTTTGTGAATGACATTTGGTCAAGGTTAAAATTTCCAGCAAAGTCTACACATTTGGAGTGATGCAGGACTTTTGTGGGGTTCAGAGGCAAGTCAAAAATATAAATGTAGGAAATTTGTAAATTTGTCTAAATGGGGATAAAATGACAACTGTAATATTTGAGACATGGTCGGTAACAGCAAAAACTAATATTTATCAAGAGTTTCCCATGTGCTGGCTGCTCCTCCAAGCACTTGGCATTTGTTATTTTACTTGGCCTCACAGCCACTATATGTAATTGGCACCATTAGTATCTGTATTTCACTAATGATGAAACTGAGATAGGGAGAGGTTAGTGTGTCCACACCGTAAATGGAGCTGGATTTAAATCTGGGGAACCTGACTCAGAACTTGTGTACCTCACCACTCCCAGCGAGGCCTCATCAAATGCACAGAAGATGAAAAGAACAGAAACCAAGAGAGAATTTAAGATCCAGAGCATTGCTTAATGAGGGAACATTCCTCAGCAAAGAAACTCTTCCAGGAAAGAACAAAACAAAACAAAGCAAAACTGGGCACCAGGAGGGGTGTAGAAAAACAGAAGTCCGTGTCATGCCACTGGCTTATAATGAGGGTACATGCACATCTGCATTATCACGGGCAGTTTTGGTCAGATTAATTTTAGAAAGAATCAATAGAAAGGGATGGGCAATCAAAAATGGCCAAAAAGATGATAATGGAAGTTTGAGGAAAAGACTATCATAAAGAGTATTGATTGAGAATTAATAACCATGAAATCGTAACCAAGAAGACTAATGGTATGAAAATTTACTCAGAACATATTTGACAAAGTAAATTTAGAATATAAAAAGAGATATCGCTGAACTCATTTACTAACAAACCCATGGCATTATTACTCCAGAAGTGAATATGGCAGAATATATAACACTTTATCAACAAATTAGTAGGAATTATTAGGAATAATAGTCATTTAGGAATAAATGACTAAAGAGAGAGATGGAGCCAAACCCACAAAAGCCATGCAAGGGAAGGGGGGAAATGAGTCAAACCCAGCCTCATTTTTATTTTGTGTTTTAATAAAAAACCATTCTACAGTAGTCCAAAGTGCCTTTGAAGTTGGACCCAGCTTCATATTCCAGCTCTATACTTCACTGAATGGTTACTTAATCCCCCCAGAGCTGTGGTTTTGTCACCTGCCAACTGCAGATAATCATACTTCATTGAGCCTGGCATGTAGTTGGCACTCCAAAAATGTTGGCTGCTATTATAATTAAGATGACTCCATGAATGCCTGCCTGACACGCTCAAAAAACTGTCTGTCTTCCACTAGTTGAAGGATGTTGAGAGTTTCAATTTTATTTTACTCTGAACTGAAATTCTCTGGCTCAGCTTTGAACTTATGCTTACATTTCCATTAATAGCTTGAGGAAAAGCTATGGTGTTTCTTATTCTTCAAAAAGTATACTTTTGCAGTAGCTTACATGTTATTTGATTCCCTTTTTTTTTTTTTTGGTGGCTTGCCATGTATGTAGTGATCATTTGTGTATTTCTTTGGAATTGTGTTTTGGTGGCCTGATTTGTTTAGAATGGTCATTTTGTGCCATGATGGGAAAGAAGAGAGGTATTGCATGCTTCTTGAGAGTGGGTTTCTTTCTTATCTCCCAGGTTGAGAATACTTGAGTCCAAGGACCAAGCATATTGTAAGAAACGACTATTGCGTAGCAATTCTCCAGTAAGCCTTTTGCAATGGAAATGACAAACTGGATGAAAGACAAACTAGAACGAGTTTGTTATGACTCATAGGTTGCCCCGAACTTCAGAGTCCCTGCCTGTTCGGCTCAAATCAAACATGTCAGGTGATCCGGCCACAAGAACTGAGTGTGACACTGATGTACCCTTCAATGAAACAAGGTCAGCAGTCAGAGCTGGAGAGCTACACTCTGCTGAACTCAGCTGTGACAGTTGCCCAGAAAATTATAATTTAAGAAATTATTTCCTAAATCTCAACATTTCTTATTTCTGGGCAATGACATTTTGAAAAATATTCTTTCTTTAATTGCCTTGTAACTAAGTGACTCTTTTAGAGACTACAGCAAGAAAAGATGGAAGATGGGCCTAAGAGAGACAAGAAGAAAAAATTGCCCAAGATTTTGAAATTATCTCTTTCCATGTCTATTACAGTGTTAAAGAATAATTTTAAAAAGAGCACCAGCCAAAAACAATTTATAATGCAAAGCAAATAGTTGATGGAAATCTGTGATTATGAGTATTAATGTTATTTTTGTAAACTGACATCCACCTTAAAAATGCAGCTTTACAGAAATTTATCAGCTTGAAAACGTTTATAATAAAGTGCGCTCACCTTACTCTGTTTTCTTAAAACTTCAGCTTTAAATTTTCTGACTACAGTTGCTATAAGGAATGAAAGTCAGTGAAGAACAACATTATCTTATTTAGTCTTTAAGACCTGGTGAAGTACATTAACTGGCGTTTAACTGACGCTTTTTTTTTTAATCAAATAATTTTTTAATGAATAAGGGAGAGGATGAGATAAAAGGGGGCATAACAATATAACAATACAGGTTAAAGCATGACACTTTCAGCAACCTAGTGCTTCACCACCAAATAACCCGACTTAATGGTAGTTACCATAGTGTCTTTTTCTTTGAAATATTTGAATATAACTTCATAGGGATTTAGCTCACCGGCATAAGTGCCTGCCTTGCAAGCAGGCAGTCGTGAGTTGATCCCCGGTAACGGTTAACTGACGCTTTGGTTCTGGGGGCATATACTCTTAAATTGTTGGTTTACTCTGTTAACAATGGTTGAAGAGATGGAATCCCTCAGAAATACAATCAATCTCCATATTTGTTTTAGAGTTAAAAAAGAGAAAATATTTTAAATCAACTATATAAATAAATCAGAGAATTTCAACTAATAATAAAACTATACTTTAATGAATTTGTTTATATATACATAAAATAGCTAAGATAATTATATGACTAATTCTATTAGTTCTTGGAAAAGAACAGTTAATACTCATATGATTAAATTGATTTTGCATGTCAGTATCTGGTAATCCAAGCAACTCTTCTGAACATAACAATTTGCAATATTACAACAATTGTTAAATTCCTATCATCTTATTTTGAAAGCCTATCTTACTATTATTTTGAGATTTTGTTGTTGTCATAGTTGTTTATATGTCTCTTGTTTTTTTCTTCCTTTTTTTCTCTTTAAAATAAAAAAATGTACTTTAAGAAACTCAGGGGACTGAAATGTACATTTAAGCCATGAGCCTTCAAACAAATACCTTACATGACTATTCAAAATTATCAATGACAAAGATCATCCCTTGGCCCTGTATTCCTTGTATCCATCCCTGCCTTTTAAAAAGGTTGGTTTGAAGACATATTAGCACAAGAAAGAGGAAAAATATTGACAAGAAGCAATAATGACTCCATTCAGAGTGCTAAGTCTAGACGTTTGTAGATTCTCTAGGTCCCACAGTGGGGGTAAATTTTTGGTTTGTAGTAGGTGTAAAATGTTGTAATTGGAGCATATACAATATACAAATATCTGAGTGCTTTTCTTGGACTTTTTGTATTCATTTTTAAAAAATTAACTTCAATTTGAAGAAGATACAATTGTTTGCAAATACTCCAGCAGGGAAGGAAAGATGCAGAGTGACCCTGCCTTCTCCCTGTGTATCTGGTTTGGGATGGTCTGCTGATTCCTGCAATTTAAATTCAAATTCCAATTTCCTTGCTTCAATTTAACACCAAAAGTTGCCAGTTGAATTCTCCCCACCCCTCTCTGTCCAATTTAATGATTTTGTATATTGGGGCTGAGGATTTTAGCTCAGCAGCATAAGCGTCTGCCTGGCAATCTTGAGGTCCTGAGTTTGATCCCCGGTAAAATTCTGTATATAGAATTTGACCAGCTCCATCCTTTTCTTTTCTCTGATTTAACTGATAAGGACTAAGTACCATAGTGTTTTGAAGGGTTTTCTGTTTTAATGATAAAAACATTTGTTTTTTCACCAAAAAACCATTTGCTTTGATTCTGGCAAGGCTCTAATCTTGCCTTTCTGACTCCTGAGTCTTTGTGTCCTTCCTTTCCCTGTTTCAGGAAGAAACAATTAAGCAATCCTGCCATGTTTCTTTCGAAAGTAGAAAAAAATGGAGCTGAGTCACACTGCACGGATACTTTTCCTGCACTTCCTCAGAACACTGAATTGAAGCAGAAAGCCTGAGGGTAACCCCTGGGAAGAGAGAACTGTGGGAGAATGGAAGGTTGAAGGAAAATAACTTCTTTCTACACAAACACTCCAATCTTTCTGCGTGTGTAGTTTAAAAGCATGGAGTCATTGGAGTGATTTTAGGGTTAGGTTGCAATTAGCTTATAGCAGATTTTTTGATTAGACTCACTGAATAACTCCCTTTTAACCTAAATGGCAGGCGTGTCCATGGGATTAAACAGGAGAAATTCTGAGCCTTCACGATCCATTTCTCTGCTGACATCAGAACCATTGCTACCTGGTTTCTCCATTTGCAGAAGCCCCTAGAAACACGTTTGCTTCTAAGCCTTGGGCTGCTGTGGGAGTTGCACATTCCCATGTCCTTAGGTGCCCTGGGATGGGCAGCCCGGTATGTCCAGGGAAAGCTGCATTCCACTGAATACAGCATCCACACCCAGGCCGCACCTTCAGTGTCCTGTGAAGCTGCAGGGAAGCAGAGATGAGGTATAGTGAAGTGAAAAAGAGACCTCTCTTCTCCCTCCAAGGAGGATAATCAGTGTCTTTCCATGAGTATTACTATTTTCTTTTTTTTTTTTTTTTTACTTCTGATGAAAGGAACACGGAACCTCCTGATCTCCTGTCTCCTTCAAGACCCCGGAAGGGGCTGAGAGCCATTTCTTCCTAGAAAAAGTCTTTGACACTAACTGCTACCCAACTCAGACTTCCTTCCTGACTAACCCACAATTGGCTAATTTATTTTTGTTTGTTTTCTCATGTAGCTGGCTAAGGTTCTGTTGTATCACTGCTCCATGGTGTCTCTTTAGATTGGCGGAGTCTTCCTTCAGGCACTGGACTCTAGGAGCTTTGGAACATCTTTCTAGCTTTTAGTAGATGTGCACGATTGTCAACTGCATGAGCAAAAACTGTGGGAACCACAAAGCTATTCTGACTTCCTGAGTGCCCTAGTGAGCTGCATTTATGTTGCTTCAGATAGACCAAGCCCAACAGTTCTTAAAGTAGGAGATGCTTTGAAGGGCTTGGGGGTCGGTTGGGGGAGGAAAACAATGATAGAAATCCTGTTCTGGTAAACAAAAGTATGAGACTTTGAAAGAATCAACAAATTAAAAACAAGCTGGCAATCTCTGTTTTGCTGCACACAGAGCATTGTAAACCCAGGTCCAGTGCAGCTGAGCTTTTATCAGAGTGAGTAGTCACAAATCCAGTTGGGTCGGTTTCTGCAGGTATTTTTCTTCCATTCTGTGGAATACTTGAAGCCGTAGCAATCTAGTATGATCTGTACCAGTCACGTTGACAGTCGTTGTTGATTTTATTGTTTGTGTGTTGCAGAGGGCTTCACACATGCTTTGAAACTGTGAATACTGGAAGTTAAATTTATCAGCCTTCACTTTCTTTTTCATAGCTATCAATGACTATATGCACACACACCGATGTGTCATGTACATTATGAAACAATACACACATAAATCAAGAGGAGAAAGTATAAATAGACATGTCAATATTTCCTTCCCAAACCTGAATGGATCCTGCTGCAAGCTTTGCCAGGGCCATGCTGTCATTTGAAAACTGCTGTTAACAGGCAGGACTTCCCTACCCATGACTCAGTGATCTGAACAAAATCTGAACTCTGTGCCTGGAATTTGTGCCTGGGGGTCAGTGGGATACAACATGACTACAAACTGCTCATTATTTGCCTGGGCCTTAGTTTACCTTTCCTGATGGCACAACCTTATTTATGTCACAGAACTGTAGAGATGAATGGCTCATATGCCTGACTATAAGAGTTAAGTCATTTATATGTTATATAATATATTATATATTGTATATTTTATATATATTTATATTGTATATTATATTCCTTTGAACCATTTCAGCTTTCCAGGAAAATCTTACTATGTAATTAACATGTGTTGATTCTTCCATTAAGTTGGGATACTATTATCATCTTTGAATTGTAGAATTTTAGCAGCTGAAAAGATCTTAGAAAGGGCCTCTGTTCTAGTTCTTACCCAGTGACGTAAGGAGACTGAGCCGTAAAGAAGATACTAGATTCCTAGATGTGACGGATAATCCCTGTTGTTTGCACAATTGACCTCTCCTCCTTTCCTCTGATTTGTTTACTCTCCTCTGAGTGCTCACATGCTTGAAGGCAGACTGGGCTCTGAACTCACACCCCTCAGCTCTAAAGGCTGCCCTGACTAGCCAGCTCAATTATGGGCTTTCCACCCTTGTATCTTGCTAAGATTTTCACTTTAAACAAAAAGCAAGCAAACCTTATCATCTCCAGGTGACACAGACACTTCGGTAGCCACCTGAGAGCCATGGAAGATGCTAGCCTACACCAGGACAACCTGCCTGAGGTGTGGCAGCAGGAGGAGAGTCATAGGTCATGGAGCTGTCAGTGTAATCATGTTGAAACTTCCATAAGCCTGCATGCTAAGCCAAATAGTAAATGCTCCCGTTGTTCGAGTCACTTTGAGTTTCATTTTCTATTATTTTCAGCCAAACACATTCTCACTGATTTAACTTATCCAAAGGGATTGGGGGTGGCAGAAATGGAGCTACAATCTAGAACTTTAGCAAATATTGAGCAGCCTGTTTTTATTTGCAAATGATGGCTTAGAGGAATCACTTGTCTTCAGTAAAGCAGTTTGTTTCTTTCCGTTCAAGAACTTTAGCCCCTATGTACTGGGAAGGCTCTAAAAGAATGAAGTATTTGATAAGAATGTTCTCCTTTCTCACTTCTATTGATTGTTCAACTGTGGTGACACAGATGGGCTTCTGAGAATATATATTTACTTTTTAATATTAAGCCTCTTATCCAGGAATATCCAGTTACGCTATGTTGGCAAACACAGTTTGTCTGCTGAGGCCCAGACCAATAGTCCCCTAGTGACCTGGTGGCAAAATGCCTGAGTGTAGAAGCAGTAGCTGTGTGTTCAAACTCAAGCTGCATCTGGTGTCATTCCACACTGCTTGCTGAATAACTGGGACCCTCAGAAATAACCCAGAAGGTTTGAGAGGTAACACGTGGTATCAAATCACCCATAGACACCCACAGAAAATGGAAAAAGCTTTGTCAACATCTTTAATGGTTTCACTTGGTAAATTATTAACAGAATAGATGTGGCGTCCTCAGAATTTCAAATACACTTACTTTCTGAATGAGAACACCAGGGAACAGTCTCTCCTGCCAAATGCCAACTGTGGGTGTCCCCCCCCCTCCCCACATGGCCATTGTGTTAGAAGCCTCCTTCCCTCATGAAAGGGCTTCTTCTGCCTTGGTGCAGAGGTCTCTTAGTTTTTTTGTGTATGTTTACCCGTGTCCAGGCTCTGTCATGTGAATAGTTTCATTCCATTTGATTCCTCTTCTCCCAGCATGCAGTAAAAAAAAAAAAGATCACAATTAAAAGACAAATAAACAAAACTTTGGATTTTAGTAAGGGCTCCCTGGCACTAACTAATTATCTTATTAACCTTGGATAAATCACTTAACTTCTTTCAGCCCGTCAATCAGGGATAGTCACACTGTTTATGTTACCTACGTCTCAGAGATGTTGTTAGAAGCCAGTGACATAATCCTCATGGACAGGCTGTGAACCTTACAGTTCTCACTCTTGGGTGTTGTTTGTGTTGACATTTTTCCTTCACGGGAGGCTGACACACATCCACTCACATGTTCCAATTCTGAATGACTCAGTAGGCAGGAAGAACGTGTCCACATGCCAGTGAGTAGAATGACCTGCAGATACGTTTGCTGGAAAACATAGTTGTTTTCACGCTCACAAACACTGGAGAAATGGATCTTGTTATTTTTTTTTTTTTTTTACAGCTACATTTCCTGGCTTAGATCTAGCATTTGGGTAATTTCCACTGTATTATCTCAGAGGAGAAAGAGAAAGGCTCAAAGGGATGAGGAAGGGTAGGAGAGTCAGGCTACGGTTTATCAAGATTTTTAAAGCACGTGGCTGTCACTGTTTATATCTGCAGAATGGGAGAGGCTATCCTGGAGTAGCACACACTGAAGTACGTGGGGGTAATGTGTCACTAACTTGATGACTCTGGGAAAAACATGTAACTTCCCTAAATTATCTTTATTAATTAAACAGAAATGAGAACGGTATGGACCTATCTCATAGGGTTGCTGTATCAACTGAGAGGACACACAAAGTGACCAGCCCATGCTGCTGCTGCTGTGTGTGAGTGTATATGTGTGCAAAAGTGTGTGGGGGAGGTATCTTCATTACCACCACCCAGTTGCTGTTAGATGAGAGTCCACACATCCCACTGATCCCTCGTAGATCACCTGAAAAACACAGTGCCTTAGAGCACTTA